CTCTCCTCCTGAGGCCAGACAAGGCAGCCCAGCTAGGAAAAAGGGGTCCAGAGGCAGGCAGCAGAGTCAGAGACAGCCCCTGCTCCTGTTATTAGAGGGTCCACATGCTGCCCAAGCTGCACATCTGTTACATCTGTGGAAGAGGCCTATGTCCAGTTCGTGCATGCTCTTTGGCGGGTGACTCAGCCTCTGTGAGCGCCATGGGCCTCGGACAGTTCATCCTGTGGGTCTCCCTGTGGTGTCCCTGACTCCTCTGGCTTCTCAGTCCTTTCCCCCATTTTTCTACCTAACTCCCCAAGCTCAGCCCATCTGTTTTTATCAGCTGCTGGATGAAGCTTCTCAGAAGACAGTTATGCTAGGCTCCTGTCTGCAAGCACAGCAGAGTGTCACGAATAGTGTCAAGGGTTGGCTGTCTCCCACAGGGTGGGTCTCAAGTTGGACCAGTCATTGCTTTGCCATTCCCTCAGTCTCTGCTCCATCTTCATGCCTACACTTCTTGTAGGCAAGACAATTTTTGGGTCACAGGTTTTCGTGGGTGGGTTGATGTGCCTCTCCCTTTACTGGGAGTCCCCCCTGGCTACAGGAGGTGGCAACTTCAGGCTCCATATCCCCCACTGCTAGGAATCTCGGCTTGGGTCATCCTGACAGACTCCTGGGAGCCTCCCCTGTGCCAGAGATGCCCGCAAACCCCACCCCCACCCCATGCTGGGGAGGATGTGGCACAAGGGCAACACTCTTCTATTGCTAGTGGGAGTGCAAACTTGTACAAGCACTGTGGAAACCAATCTGAAGGTTTCTCAGAAAGTTGGGAATAGATGTACCTCAAGACCCAGCTATGCCACTCCTGGGTATAGACCTAAAAGATTCTGCATCATACCCCAAGGACACTTGCTCAACTATGTTCATAGCAGCTTTATTCATAATAGCCAGAATCTGGAAACAACCTAGATATCCCTCAACCAAAGAAAGGATACAGAAAGTGTGGTGCATTTACACAATGGAATACTATTCTGCTCTTAAAAACAAAGAAATCATGCATTTTTCATGCAAATGGATGAAACTAGAAAAGATCATCCTGAGTGAGGTGACCCAGGCCCAGAAAGACACACGTAGTATGTACTCATAAGGGGGTATTAAACCTACAGTACAGGGTAAACACGCTACAATCCACAGACCCAAAGAAGCTAAGTAATAAAGAGGGCCCAAAAGATGCTTGAATCTCACTCAGGGGGCCAAATGGAGTACAAATCAGAAAGGGATGGAGGCGGAGGGAACAGAGTAAGATATGGGGTTGGAGGGAAATGGGAATGGAGATAAGGGGTGGGATAGAGCGGGGTGGAGTGGGCTGGTGGGAAAGTCTTGCGTTCAGGCTGTGAGGACATCGTGGCCTCTTGCTAGGACAAAAGAGAGAAGAGTATAGAAAGCTTTAACACACCAGGGAGGGAGACAGAAAATGAAGACATGATCTCCCCATCGCTTACTTTGATGTGTGGCCCAGTTGGTCTCAATCTTTGTTCTGTGAAGAAATAAATTCACGGATGAGGAACAGCACAGTGCTAGATAATTTAGGTTAAAGGGAAAATGAAAACGGAATAAAAGGCATTAGCATATATAAACATACAGTGAGATGAAGATAGTAAATCCATCAGCTTCCTTCCTCTGTGTGAGGCAGCTCTGCAAGTATTTAGAATTATTGACGGGCGCCCAGATAACTGATGTTGATCAAGAAAATGGCTGTGAAGTGAGGATTCACTGCGGCTTTGACCACTTAGAAGCATTTAGATGCACAGTGAGTAAGATTTACGTCTGAGTGAAGCGCTTCACACATAAAGGAGAAAGCAATAGGGGGTGAGGTCTCAGCACCATTGGAAAGACATGTTGAAATACAGCAGTCCCTGAGGAGTCCTGAGCTGTGTGCTCTAGAGAAATAGGAGGCTACTCCACTCCCTCTCCCAGAAGAGCCCTCGAGGCGTGCTCCTCCTTGATGGACGTGCTCTCTGTGAGACGGGCTTATGTGAGAAATGGACAGTAGGCAGAGACGTGCTGATGCAAGTCCCAACAGAGAGAAAGCATGGGAGCACAGCACCGCGGCATATTATCCTGTGTGTTCTCCATGGGTCCCTCAAGATCCTGCGGGGTAAGATCTTGCACCATCCTGCAGAGAGGGACAAGCTCACAGTGTGGGAGTGTGGGATCCGCAACCCCCACTGTCCATCCTTTGTCCCTCCTCTCTACTGTGTGTTGATTACAGGTGGACGAGGGGGAAAAGGACTGATAATTCCCAGGGGATGGATATATATATATATATATATATATATATATATATATATATATATATATGAAATAAAATGTAGCATCAACAGACTTGAGAAACAGAAAGGAAGCAAAAGCAATCACACAGCACAGAGAGCAAGAGATGTAGGTGGAAATTAGGAACAGATGACAATGGCTCCGCCTCCAAAAGCACCCACAGCTTTGCAAATCAGAGGACACCAGGGCAGGGAGCTGCAACTGAAAGGAGGACAAACGCCCCTTGGAGAGCAAAGAGAAGACACTCTCAGTGGATGCTCCTGCCAGGGCCTCTCAGAGTTTTCACAGCTTCTGTTGACCTAAAGGGAAACTGGAGAAAAAACATTAACGTGTTGTCACTGCTCAAAGCACTTCCTCGGTCAGACAATTGTGGAAGAATAAAACAAGAAACACAATAAAAAGACAGAGACATTAGGATACAGAGACGCAGAGGTTGGTCTGCGTCTATTGGAAAAGGTCTATGTCTGAGTCATTGAGAAAAGGCTCTTAAGAAACTAGTGTGGGCTTTCTGTGCTCCTCCTAGAATGGTTAAAATACTCTTCGGTTCCAATGTTGGCAACGATTTGCAGAAAGCTCAGTTTTCATACACTGCCAATGGGAAAGTCACACAATGGGAAAGTACTTTTGCATTTTCTGGGAAATTAAACATGTACTCCTTAGCCTACCCAGCATCCCACTGTGGCACATATCCCAGGAAACTGAAGACAATGTTCACTTCAGGAGCTGTACAAACACACTGAACTCATCCTTGTTCTTAATAGCCGGTTTGGAAGCAATCCAAACACCCTCTCACTTGTGACATGGGGATCAACATATGGGATCTTATCATAGAATCTTGCTCTGTCATTGACGACAATCAGCAGTGAACTATTGGTACATACTACAACTTGGATGACTCCTGAGAATGTCGTACTGAGTGTGTGAGCCCATTTACATAACACTTGAAATAATGAGATCTAAATATGGGCCTGGGGAGAGAGCGCGGTCAGTAATTTGTTTTGCAAGTGTGAAGACCTGAGTTCAGGTCCCCAAAATCCAGGTGTGATGGTTAACATTTATCATCAGTCTGATAGACCTAGAATCACCTAGAACACAGGGGTTATTTGGGTCAGGTTAGTCTCTGGGAAGACATCCTGTGGAACACCAGGGTTGGGATGTCCTTGGGAGGAGGGTTGGGAGAAAAGAGTGCTGCCTTGTGGCTTGGCTAGTGCAGGGCTGATTGCCCTTTCTGATTTGACATTATTTCAGAGCTGACTCTGGCTGCTTCTGCAAATCTATGCCAATACCCGAGTGTTCAGAGCCATTATGACATTGCTCAGATCGCAGAGTACTATGACTGTTGTTGCAGCTAAGATCAAGTGTCTGGCAGAGGCCCAGGCTAGTCAAAACATGCATGTGTGTGCGTGTGTGTGTTTCCATGAATGTGTGTGCATGTATGTGCCTTCCATGAAGAATGTTATGGTTTATCATCATCATCAGTGCCACAATGAATTCTTCTCTTTGCCATTTTATTGTGTCTAGACTGTTTATCCTTCCATATCTGCCATAAAAATTTTATGTGGTGGTTAAAATCATAGAATCGTCAGTTTAGATTTCAAGAGCCCAGGAAATCTCGCCCAATTTACCCACCTCAATTGCATCGCTATAACCATAGTGTGTAAATGAGATATTCTTCTCTTTGGACATATCCGTGTCTTATCGCGGATGGATTCAGAGTCAGTTACATCTGTATGGTGGATTTGTGTAAGGAGACCTCTTTTTCTATGCTGCTGGGAGATCCTGAGACTAGGGACAAAACAGCATCGATTTTTATGGCCAAAAATGTCAGGGCAATATTGGTGCCTGACAGGCACCATCTCCACACACAGAAGGAACATGTCACAGCAGCCTCTCCAAATGCCAGGCAGCTGTCAGTCAGGTACAGAGTGTGTGTGCATCTTGTTTATAGCCTTGGTGGAGAGGATACATTTCTGGGTCTTCCTTAATCAGTATGGTTCTATTTAGGCCATGATTAGAGTAACGCTGAATCTCGCAGCCTTGTTCAGAAAACGGGTCCCACATTTCTCGTGGAATAAGATCAGACTGGCGGCACTGTGTGACTCTAGAACCTTCTCACATTTCCATAGATGGACACGAGCTCTGTGGTGGTCATGGAATCAGCCTGAAAATATAGCCTGACTGCTCCTTTTAATGTAGAGCTCACAGCACCAACATCCCCAAGTACTCCAGCTCTCCGGCTGCTGGTGTGGGCCGGCTGGAAAGTGTGTGCAGTGTCTTGGCACCTGTCCTTGTTAACTGTGCATTTGTTGTAAGCCTGCGGCCTTTTAGCCGCACAACAAGCACTGTGATTGCGGAGGCATGCTTCACAGGAAACTGTGGGGCACCTCTGTCTTTACCACCAGGTACAAACAAGACCGTCATGGCTATTTTCATGGCAACAAAAGTTGCAAAGAAACAGCAAGAAATAGTCAGAGAAAGTCAGCATGAAAATCTCATTAATGTCAAGAAGGCTGAGACACAGTACTTTTAAGATTAATGCTTTTACTCAGGAAAAGTAGAAGAGCTAAGTCAGTGGTGCTCTGTTGAAGTTGGGGGTGAACCGCGGAGGCCTCAAGGTGCAGGGAAGAGTGGACAGCTGTGAAGGGTGGCAGTGCCCACTTCCGAGCCACCTCCTGGGTCCAGGCTCTTCGTCACGGTTCTGCCCGGCTGCTTGACATCTCCACTGTGTTTTCAGCTGTCTCCGGTGTGTCCTGCAAGGCCCTCTGTAGAACCATTTTGAGGGTCTGGTGCCTCAGCTGATGCCTGAAGGTGCCCACGAAGAAGTAAATGATGGGGTTGGCACAGCTGTTAACAGCAGTCAGGACCAGTGATGCCAGATAAAGACCATAAGCAAATACACCATAATCAATCTTAATCCAGATTAACAGGAACCAGTGAATGCCAAAGGGCAGGCCGCAGAGGAGAAAAACCAGCACGGTGAGCATGATGGTCACATACAGTCTGGTGAGCTTCATCCGAGCAGCGCCACAGAACAACCTGGCCAGCAGGGCCAGGCTGGACGTGCAGAGGACCACGAACAGAAATATCAGGCACGCGGCAGTAGAGAAGTTTGATGCCAGACACCGCTTGTCGTTTTCGTATTTGGTATCCAAGAAGCCACAGAAATACCTGTTCAGAATGCAGGTCAACAGTGACAGGACCCAGATGGCAGCACAGATGACGGTTGATGTGTGTTTGGGGCGGCGGCAGCGGTACCAGATGGGACACAGGACAGAGAGACAGCGCTCCGTGCTGATGGCGCTGAGCATGCTCAGGCCTGCGATGTAGGGCACCATCATGATGGTGTTAAAGCACGGGAGAAAGACAATGTTAGGATAGGAAAACTTGAGCAGAAGCAGCGTCGAGTCTATGACGTGACAGAGGAGGAAAAGGAAGTCAGCCAGGGCCAGGTTGAGGATGTAGACGGAGAAAGCGTTCCTGCGCAAGCGGAAGCCCAGGAGCCAGAAAACAACGGCGTTTCCTGTCAGCCCGACCAGTCCCGAGATGATGATGAGCAAGTTTGGGATCAGGGTCCTGCTGTTGAAGCTTCCAGGCACGGTTTTGTCCATTGGGTTGGTTGTCGTGGCTGCTGTCCCAGCGACTGAGGGGTTCAGGCTCAGAAACCCTGCACTCGTGCTGCTGGGAACACAAAGAGGTGAGGCCTGCTGTGTGAGCGTGCCTTTGTTAAAGACGTTTTATTAGCGCACGTTAACCGCATAAGATGATGAGTTTTATTGTGAGACTTTCAGAATGTTTATAATGTACTTTTATGATCATTAACTGTCAAGTCTAGCTTGCTGTGTAGGAATAAGGGTTCTTGGGTTTCAGGGGAGGTGGTGCAGGCTGGCAGAGAACAGGCCACCTATTAAAAAGCAGATTTGCAGCTTGTTCTTCATGTGGGCCTCCTAACAATTGGAGCAGGGCCTGTCTATGCCTTTGTCACCTGCCTTTGGATTCCTCTCCCATAGCTGGGCTGCCTTGTCTGGCCTCAGTGGGAGAGGATGTGTCGAGTCCTGCTGTGACTCGATGTGCCAGGGTGGGTTGGCACCCTTCTCTGAGGAGAGGGGGAGAGGGAATAGGAGAGGAGGATGTGAAGGTGGGACTGGGAGGAGGTAAGGAGGGGTCTGTGATCAGGCTGTAAAGTGATTAAATAAATTAATGAAGAAAAAAAGCCGAAGCCTTGGAAGCTGCCCCCTCTCCTTTGAGCACTCTTAGAATCATCGCCATGGTGTCCTGAGTGTATGTGGGTGGAGAAAAACCAGGGAAGTAAAGTCCAAATTAGGTCCAAGATGGCTGTCAATACTGTCAGCTAAGAGACTACCCAACTTAGGGTGAGGAAAAGAAGCTATCAACATGGAACAAAATAGGAGGAAACATCCGAATCTGGAAGCTTTCTTTTTTTGTACCTCACAGAAGCAGCCATGAGCTCAGGAATTCCCAGAAGCAGGAGGCCTCCAGGCCAAGGATTCTCTCTGGGGATGCAGACAGGTACCCAAGACAGAACGCACAGGGTCCCCCTTGTGCCCTCTGAGAGACACCAGCCACTGTGGTCCCAGTGGGCTAAAAAGGAACTGAGTGGAAACCCAGGAAATCTTTCAGTCAGGGAGCTTATAAATGTATAAAGCTAATTTTAGGGTCTGAAGTGTTTGTCTTTTGCGTAAAACCAGGAACTTAATAAGGAACAATTATACTTAGTTTGTTGACTAATGCACGTAGGTCCGTGGAATCCTCATTTAACATGGGTGAAAAGACCCTGAGACTTAATCAGACAAAGGAACACTGTCGTCATGCCAGGCAAGACATTTGTATGCTCATTCCCGATGGCCTGGAGGGCTGCGGAGAGCTTCCTCGCCTCACATCCTCCTGTGATGCTCTTCACCACTGTAAACATGCACGTGATACACTCGCACCTCATGCTCCACACTAGCACACACTCCGACCATGATGTCTACATCACTGAGAGCCTAGAAATGTCTGTACAGTGACCATGGATTGAACTCTCTAAAGTCACATGGGAAAATAAATCATTCTTCACCTTTAATGGGTTGTGCCAGATATTTTGGTTCTAATAATGATAAAGTCAACTAATACAGAAAAGTCAGTAATGAGGTTTGGACCACTGCTACGACCAAATCTGGCCATGTGGGTAGTAAGCCTTTAAAAAGGTTTATGGGATTGGGAAGAGATTGTTGAAGTACGACATAGAAGTCCTAGAATGCTATAAGCAGAGCTTATTGGGGAGTTCAGAAGACCAGGTGCTAATAGAGCAGAAGAGGGAAGACTGAGATTGCAAGGTTTTGGTGGGAACAAGTTTTTGGGAACTGGACTAGAAGAAATGAATGCTGCATCCGACAAAGAATTTGTCTCCATTTTGTCAGTACCCTGAAACTGAGCGAGCCTGACATTGAGATAATAGGCACATGATATTAGCAGAGGGCGCCTTGGAACAGCAATATCATTGAGAATGTGGCGTGGGCGTTGCTGGCATCCTTGAGCCAGGTTTATAGTGAGAATATGGAGATAAAAGCAAAGCAAAAAGATTAGGGAAAATGTGTAGTTTGGCCAGAAAAGAGTCAAGTTGAAACCTGTTATCAAGGAGCACATGGTTGTTGAAGAGATTAGTACCATTAAAGGAACCACTGTGCTGGCACAACAGCGTCTTAGTTAGTGTGTCTATTATGATAAAAATGCCATGGCCAAAAGTAACCTGGGGAGAAAAGGATTTGTTTCAAACTTCTGATTCTCAGGTCACACTATCACTGGTCACTGAGGGGAGTCAGGGCAGAAACTCAAGGCAGGAACTGAAGCGGAAGCCATGGGGAACACAATTCGTTAGTTATCTATTCAAGGATTGCTCAGCCCACAGTGGGTGGGGCCCTTCCACCTCAATAACTAATCAAGAAAATGCCCACAGACATGCCTACCAGCCAGTCTGATGGAGGCATTTTTTCAGTTCTCTCTTCCCAGGTGTGGCTAGGTTTGTGTCAACTTGACAAAAATAACCAAACCAAACCAAACCAAACCAAACCACACCAAACCACACCAAACCACACCAAACCAAACCAATCAAACAAGAAACACTGTGACCAATAAGTAGAAAGATTTCTGAGAGCATTTCAAGATTCTATTCATTGGTCACACTTTATTTCTTGTTCAAGGGTGCAAACTAGTGCACTAACGTGAAAGACCTTCTTGGAGACAAATGAGCCCCTGGGACATTCTGATGCAGTGGAAGTCCTTCCCCATGTTTATTTGCCGAGGTTCTCAGAGGCTATTGAAGCCATGGCCCTTGGGAGCCCAGATACTGTTTGAGCTGGTGTTAGATATAGCCATTGCTCATGTGGTGCATCCAGGATACACAAGCTACTGGGCCATGGATTTTCCACTGAAATTCTAAAGGAAAGCTAGAAAGCCTGGCAGTGTGTGGCAGGACTGCATTCTCTACAGGGAACCCCCAGGAGTGTGATATGTGATATGTGAACTATGAACTATGAACTATGAACTATGAAGGTAAAGACTAAGCTGCAAAGACAGTCCCAGGACTTTGGAGGTGCCGTGGACACAGAATTCTGCAGAGGAAAGGCACCAACACCAAGTAGAAGCAGCTTCAGAGGGCTCCAGTGGACTCCAAATGGAAAGACCCTGGGAGCTCAGCTGTCCAAGCCTGTTGGCATTCATGCCATGATATTCATGCCCTGGATGCTGAACATGATGCTCCTCTGCCATATACTTCCACCACTGTTGTAGATATTAATATTTATTATTGATTTATCTTTTAAGATAAACCAGCTGTATACCCAAATCACCACACAGAGACTAGGATTTAATTAATCTAGAGCACAGTGTAGGGCAATAATTATTCCATCCTAAACCTCTAAGCCCGCATAGTTTCCTCCCATTCAGATTTCTTACATCATACTTGCTTTTAGTCATATCTTAGGTCTGGTTCATCTCTCCTCATGGTTCCAAGTCCTCTCCATTAGTTACTGGAGTAAATAGGAAGTGCATGTTAGCAGCCTCCAAAATAAAAAAATCGACAGAGAGTTTGCTGCCTGAACAGTCACCCAAAACTCTCTATAACACTGGAGCATCATCTTCAGCCTCTGGCCCAGTATATTTGACAGACACATATTTGAAGCAGGAACTATTTAGGACTTGTTTACCCTGTCTTGGCAGAGTTTGGCAGTTGACTTGTCCTGCAGTTAAGGTTGCCCATTTTTGGCAGAATTCTGTCTGTCGTGAAACGAGGGCATTCTTTTTGCCCGGATGGCTCATTTGCCATATTTGAAGCCATCTCCATATGGAGGTTCTTTGATGCTCATCATCTTCCTTGAGGCTGGGTGCTGACAGATGACCTGTCTCATTGTCAAAGAATCTTTAAAATAATAAAGACATTTTAAAATGCCATATTCTGTAGGTCTCTGAGGTTTCTGAAGACTTACCTATCTTTATGTAATCATATCTATCTGTTAACCCTAGGATGTATACTCCTGTGATAAATTAGACTAGTGTCCAATATGACCATGAGTTAATTAACTAACAATTAACTTGTATTACCTAAATCCTTACCTTATTTTCTCTCTGAATAAGAACATTAGCAGCTTATAGCTATCTTCCAAATGACAATAACAGTCATAGCCCCAGAAAACAACCAAAAACCTACCCAAACTCCCTTAAAAGAAATTGGATGTTGTTCCCATGAATTTTTTTCTAGCTGACTTTTTGGACACGCAGAAATCCATTAGGGAGCCTAGAGGAAATTGGGGGAAAATGGTTAATTAAGCAAGCATTAACATTTGTGGTCCAGTCTTTGAATGTTGAGAAATTTTAGGCTTAATAGAAGTCCTGTTTGGAACAGTCTAAAATGTTGGACCAACTGAAATTAGTAGCTTTCTTCAAAGCTCTCTTGCCAGCAGGCTTTGATGAGAAACAGCAATTGAAGCAGTTGGGGCAGGAACAATCAGAATGTTGGAACATGCAAGATGCTGGAACAGATGTGTCAACTTCTCAGCATGCTGGAAGGAGGATTCTGTCAGGTTTGATCCAGTGTATCTGGTGTCTAGTCCTTTTGTTCTGCAAACATATAACCTCTCACAAGCATTATACAGCCCTAAAATTATAAATGTGTGAGATGTGCAGGATGAAACTAAACTGTACACCAATTTTATCTATGCCAATCAAAAGAATGGCATAATAAAATTTGAGGATATTGTAGCCAAGGATTTATTGGCCATGTAATATTGAGTTCTGGCTGGAGACATTTTTATGTCTCAGTCAGTTTCAGAGTCGCTCCTATGTGAAGGGATCAGCACTGTATGTTATCTTTTCTGTTTAGTCTTCTTGATTTCTCTCTTCTTATGGGTGGCCAAGATCTTCAGGTGGTCTTTTTCTATTAGTTTTCATGGACCCATAATTTCTCTTCTCCTGTATGAACATATGCAAAACCTCTCCCCCAGCCTAACACATTGCTTGTTCTCCATTTTGGAATTAGGACCTTTTCATGCTGCTCTAATTCAGCAGTCCTTCCTAAAGTCCATTGTGTCTTAGCAGGCGTGCTACTTATCTCATTTAAACATTTAAAAATTGATAAATCAGTATTTAATCTATTTTGGGGGGATATTATATTTCCCTT